TTATTGAACTCATCTTCTGCTGAAGCCACCTTTTGATGAGCATTTACATGAGACACAAGTATGTTCACATCCTTTGCCCATTTGGAGGGATCTGTCAACATATTCTTCCCCAAATGTCTTTCTCACCAATTTTCCAATCATGCTCCTTCTAAGTCCCTGACCATCCAACCAAACCACTGGCTACAGCCCATGAATCAGTATATAATCACACTTCTGGCCATTTCTCCTTCCAAGCAAACCATGCACACTTCCCTAAGTTCTGCCCACTGTGAAGACTTTCCTTCCCCAGTGTCCTTCAGGGTTGTTCCAGAAATTGGCTGTAATGCTGCAGCTGTCCACTTCTGAGTGGTGCCTGCATAGCATGCAGAACCATCTGTAAACCAAGCCCTAGTCTTCTCTTCCTCAACTGATCATAGGGCACACCCCATGAAGCCATAGGTGCATGCTTGAGAACAGGAGGCACCGTAACAGGAGTAGGAACCATAGGCATTTGGGCAGCTTCTTCATGTAACTTGCTTATGCCCTCCGGGACTGCTTGGGCCCGATCACATATATACCACTTCCATTTGATAATGGATTGTTGTTGTGCCTGGCCTGCTTTATGGCTTGGGGGTGGTCATATAACACCTAGCTCATGATGGGCAGCTCTGGTCACGTGGTGACTTGGTGGCCCATTGTCAAATGTTCAGTTTCCACTAAGGCCCAATAGCAGGCTAAGAGCTGTCTTTCAAAGGGAGAATAGTTGTCCTCAGATGAAGGCAAAGCCTTACTCCAAAATCCCAATGGCCTTTGCTGTGATTCCCCTATGGGGGCCTGACAGAGACTCCAAATAGCATCTTTATCTGTCACTGATACCGGAAGCACCATCAGGTCTGCTGGATCATATGGCCCAAGTGGCAGAGCAGCTTGCACAGCAGCCTGGACCTGTTGAAGGGCCCTTTCCTGTTCCAGGCCCCACTCAAAGGTAGCTGCCTTCCGAGTCACTTGGTATATGGGTCATAGTAACACACCCAGATGAAGAATGTGCTGCCTCCAGAATCCAAGCAGGCCCACCAAGCGTTGTGCTTCTCTCTTAGTGGAGGGAGGGGCCAAATGCAACACCTTATTCTTCACCTTAGAAGGAATGTCTCTGCATGCTCCACACCA